TATATATATATATATATATATATATGAATAAGGAGGGATCCACTCACATCAAGAGCAAGTATATATAAATTTACTTCACTCAATAACTCATGTTTTACACCAAATTTTAACTATTGAATTAAAAATTCTTAATGCAAGTCTACAAAGTTTTAAAAAATTTGAAAACTATTTAATAATTTATTTCATTAATTCAAACTAACGGATAATCATAAAAATCTTTTATATGTTGATTTGCATTAATGAAATGAAGAATCAAATAGCTTTCAGATGGAAATCCTTCCTTTCTCTCCCACCTTCTCTCTCTATATATAATCGCTTGATTTCCTCTCTATTCTTTTAATTGTGATCTCCTTTACTAAAATCATAAAATCAAATTAAAAATCTCTATCACTGCAAATTTCTTGGCCATGTATCACCATTGTTATTTTTTTTTTCCATTACATCAAATTGAAAGTTCAATATGTATGTTTAAAAATAAAAAATTAGGTACTATTATTTCATTTCATTGTCATTTACTAATTAAAGACCTATAATTTGAATCATAAATTATAATTTAATTTTTTTATACTTGTCTAATTATTTAGGTTTGAACTTGTTGCACTAAAAAACAACCTTTTGGTCATCTAAAATAGAAAAAAGATAAACAAATTGAAATTGATATTTATTCTCAAAAGATTGCTCCGATAATTTGTTTATAGTTAAACATTCTATAATTTTTATTCGAAATGATCAAATCTAGATAATCTAGATTCCAAAGCAATTTTTTTTTGAGAATGAATAACAATATTAGAATGATGACAAGCCCAATATTTTTGTTAAAAATAGTTAAAATAAAAATAATTATCATGATGAAATTGAATATATTAATGATAAAAATTAACATATTCATGTTGAACAACCTAGTTAGTATAATTTATTAGACATTTACAATTTAATAACATAAAATATCCTTAGAAATGACTTACAAGATAAATTAACAAAACATGATACTTAATGAGATATGTCTATTGTGAATGATCTTAAAAATATTTTTTATATCCTAATAATCTAGTGATATAAAATATAAGAATAATAGTTAAATAATTGAGGACATTATATTTTTATTCAATTATTGTCTTAAAAAACTCATAACCTACCCTGTAAGAAATATATCATCAATCTTTGCAAAGTCATTTTGACCATGTTTGCAAAGTCACTTTGACCGCACAAATCATTACGATGAAGGAAACCTCAAGTAAACCTTCTAACACAATATCAACATGATTTTACTCTATATGTTGCTACTGATGCAATAATAAAACATTTGATTCTATACTCAAATGTTGAACGAAAATTTTTCTTTATATTTTTCAAATTATAAGAGAGTTGATACACTTGCCTAAGTGAGCATATGAAATGTGTGTGGGTCTTCTCTCACACTTATCGATAATTCTTGCAATAGAAAACTCAAATAAACTAATTCATAGTGTTAGGAGGATCTATGTGAACAACAATTGATTGATTTTGCAGAAGCCAACACTGAAATGCTTTTGTAATAATGTTGAACTTTATATTGGCTTCATATGCGTCCTTGATTGAAAACCTTAAATTGATAACAAAATAATTGGGCTCATATGATGTGATTGCACGTTCAATTGCTAACTCCTTAATAATTTTTTTTAATAATCTCATTTGATTGCAAAAGGTGAAAGAGAACTATTGGAGTTGGAGAGCTTGTTGAACCACTTGGTCAAACATTAAAGGGGTTGAGAAACTTAGGCTCAAAACAGAAAATCATTTCACCAAGAAAATGAACAATAAATAACAAATTCATAAGAATTGAGAAGTAAAAATGATGATTGCATTTTTATCCATATTTTAGTACAAAAAAGTATATTACATTCGATGTTTGTGAAACAAAAATTATAAGTAATTTAGTGTGGTGTATTGAATTGAGATTTTATAATATATTTTTAACATAATAAGATCTTGTAAATTTTAAAAGACTTTGTAGAATTTAAGATTTTTAAAAGACTTTTTTAATTAAAAATTTGTGATATAAATTTTAATGGATTTGTATATCGAGAATTGATAAGATTTGAAAGGATTTTATTAGATTTTAAAAGATAATATGAATTTTAGAAAAATAAAACAATTAATAAAAAAATAAAAAATGATAAAGTTTGAATAAAGAAAATAAAATTAATAAAGTTTTCAATCTTTTAATAAAATTTATGTATTTATATTTTTTTCATTTATATTGTTGAATTTAAACAATATGTTCAACTTTATGATATCCATTAATCGGTAGAATTATTATAACATATTTTTAATATATGTTTGAAAATTTGATATTTCAATATTAAATTTTATTGACAATAAAAATTTATTAAATTTTAATAATGTAATTTTTTAACAATATATAATATTTAATAATTAAAAAATAATTTTAAATATTTAATAATTTTTAAAAAATATTAATAAATTATACATCAATTTTAATAGATGAAAATGTAACAAAAAAATATTAATAGATAAAAAAATGATAGAAGAAAAAAATAGAGAGAAAAAGAAAAAAAAATGAGAGAAATAAAGAAAAAAAGAATATGAGATTAAAAAAAACATGAGAAGAGAGAAGAGAAAAAAACACAAAAATGAGAAAGAAAGAGAAAAGAGAAGACAGAGAGACAGAGAAAGAGAAAAAAGAAAAAGATGCATAAAAGACAAATGGGAAAAAAAGATAGAGAAGAAATAAAAGAGAAAAAAAATGCAAAAATCTCAATAATTTTGGTAAAATTATTGAAAGAGTGATTATATGAAAATTTTACTAAAATGTATCACAAAATTCATCAATTAAAATAATTTATTGAAATTTCAATATTTTTAAATATAAAAAAAAAATTTAAATAAAAAAAATATTTTAATTGAATATCACTAGATTTTGATGTAATTTTTTAAAAAAATCTTAATCATCTTAATTAAATACCAAAACTTTTTTATATTAAAAATCTTGATTAAATATAAAAAAAAAATTTATAATTAAAAACCTTTTAAAATTTTTGAAATCTTAATTTGAAACATTCTGTTAATGGTTATAACCACTTCTAACTATCATAATAATTGCCTCCAATAATGACAGATAAATTATATTTTATCTAGTTAATTAACTTAAATACTTATTTATCTAAAGATGTTTGTTTGACAAGGGAAATTATTTGACTCATTTGTAACATTTTTTTTGAAAGGTTACTTAATATAGTGCTTGAGTTTGTAAACTCCTATTTTTTAATTTTTAATTCTTGTATCTTGTTAGAATTTCCCTTTTACTCTCTATGTTAAAAAATCCTTAATACCTTTATCAGCTCTCATTTTGACTATCTTAGCATTATATTATTATTATTAGAATATAAATATATTAAAATTATAATATACATGTCATTATATTATTTATTTTAAAAAAATGTAAAAATTTATTATTCTAATTTTTGAGAAAATAATATTTTAATATAAACTAAAATACAAATAATAATTTAAAATATTTATAACATCTATTTTTCAAATTATAATCAAAATATTTAAATATATTTTCATTTCATTTCATATTTTTAAACTATTTTTTAATATCATCTAATTTACCCACCTATATTAATTTTTTTAAGTTATTAATCATCATTAATTTAAACTTTTGCTTATAAGTAGGGAAGCACTATTCTATCGTCAGCATATTCAATTATTTCTTAATGACATAATATTTCAACTCACAAGAAAATAATAAAATCTCTTTTTTTATTCCGAGAAAATAAAATCTAATCAGTTATAATTAATAATTTCGGATACAATCATTTGGGTAATAATATAAAAATTCCAACATACATGCACGACACAAGGAATTTCAGATCATGACCGTTGATCTTGCACATACCCCAGGAAAACCCCATCTGAGCCGTTGAATCTGTGTCAATTTAACCGCATTTAAAATCCGCATTTGAAGTCCGAACTATAAATTCTCCGAAATAACTCCACACACATAGTTACTGTCAGTGGCACAGAGAGAAAGACGCACACAGTGTGAAGCTCCTTTGTTCTTCTCTTCCAACCGCTGAATCTGTAAGCTTCTTCTCTTCCAATTTCCCTTCTAACTCTTCGTATTTTGTTCAAAAGTTTGCATCTTTGTATTCTCTTGAGTCAATTGTTGTACGGAGTGGGGATTTGGTGTGAGCAATTTTTAGGGCTTTGAATTTAGAACGAACTACTCAAAATTGGGATTTTACTTCATTTTGATTCTTTGGGTTAAGTTTGACATCAAAGTTTTTATTAAGAAAAAAAATTGATATTTTGAAGTTTCTCAACTTGGCTCTGCTGTGCTCTGGTGAGAAATTTGTTTTCGGAATTGTGTGAATAAGATTACCCTTTTGAAGAGATGATGTTATTTATCCGAAAACGGTGTAAAATGAATTTTAAATAAGTTTTGTTTATTTATTTTTTTATTTTTATAACGGATTGTTTATTCTTCCTCCCACCAGTGCCGAGTATTACATGTTGACTTTTTGTTCATCAACTACATTCCTTTGTTGTTTTTGTGTTGGGGGGTGGGGGTAATTTTTATGCTTTTGACATGTTGTTCATCAACTATATCATTTTTTTTTCTTTATTGTTGTTGTTGGCATCACTGAAAGGTATAATTTGGCTCCACTGGTGCAATCATAGTTATCTATGCTGGGTAGCAGAGCTTAGCAGCCAGCCCTAAAAACACTAAAGCGGGAGGGCCTCCATTTTAATATTTTTCATACATATATATAATCAGTACGATATACATAGTTACGTATTTAATGCTCAAAATTCATGGCATATTTATAATTATCAATAAAAAAAGTCATATGGGTCAAGAGAAAAGCATACAAGGAACTACAGCAGTGTAGGAGACAGTAATAGAGCAGTAACAGAGACTGAAAACTGCACGAGAAGAGAAAAAAGGCTGCTCCATTGCAGTTGCCAGAAAATAGCCAGAGAGGAGGTGGTCTCTGGAGAAGATAATGAGAGAAGGCTATGTGTTTGGCTCCTCATAGAACATAGTTGTGGTTGATTTGGGAGGGGTGGAATATGTTTTTTATATTACCATTTTTTGGTCTAACCATTAGGTTGTCTATCAGGATTCAAATCATGAATGAAAAGGCCTATTTTTTGAATACTGAATTGAACCAGATCGTGAATCATAAGATTCAATTTCAGTATCAGTAATTAAAATTAAAATTAATATACACAGCTAATAAATTCATATAAAAGCACAAATTCATGATCAATAATTAAAAGGGCATAAATCTGAGAGTATTTTAATGTGATACATGAAGACACGTATCAAAATGTCTATATATTGGCATTGTGAAGTCAAATAGGTCACTATATAAGCAACTGGTGATATTAATCTCTTTCTTCTTTTTTATGTGATCATTTTCACCCAAACAGAACAGAGCCCAACATGAGTGTTAACTATGAAGACAGCATCAAAGAGGAGAGACAACAAATATAAAAATACCAAAATAGAGGCAGGATACCAGTACCACTGACCAGCAAGACCTTCCATACTGAATGCAACCAACAATAAAATAATAGGAGACAGAGAATATATGCAGTACATTGGGCACTATAGTGTGTGGGGAGGAGCAGCTAAAGGAGAAAAGAAAAAAAAATAGGGCTTCTTTCAAAAGTAATTTGTGTGGTGTGTGTGGAGGGTTTAGATCAGCTGTTTTTCTCCCTTTTGGCACAATTTTCTTTTGTTTAAGAAAGCATGCTTGAGAGTTTTTCAGAATTGGGTCATGTATGACACAACCCAATTACATGCAACCCAGTCTCGAACAGAATTGTGATGCAGAAATTTATTGTGATTCAAATGATTCTGGGTCAATTCAGGTGATTTAAGGTGAAATTCAGCACCCAGAATAATTTGTCAAAACAATTAAGGTGAAATTCAGCACCCAGAACAATTTGTCAAAACAATTCATGATTCTTACAATTTTAAAAACACTGCTAACCTTGGGTAAAGTCTCACTTTTAGCCATAAAAATTCCCCTAAAATGACACTGAAGCAGGGGCAAAATGATTTTTGAAAAGACCCATAATCACCATGGTTCTATAGCACGCACACAGCCTGCAATCTAGCCACGACTATGAAAACACACCCTTGATGGAGCTTTGGGGGGGGGGGGGAACCCC